AAAATTACTATGGAGATGAATGTCTCCCATTTCTTTAGATGGATTTCCGGCACCATTTTTGCTTTCTCCGCCGATAAAATGAATATTCATGAAATTCACAAGCCATCCATTCGAAAGCGCCCTCCGCTGGTCTGACCAGCAACAGGTCTTCTGCAACGTCGTCGCCATCGACGACGCTGTTGCCATCCGTCCCGTCGACAAATTCCCGTCGTCAGGCCACGCCCGTCGTCATCCTGTATGATGGTGTGGGGCGTGGCTTGGCTATGTGCGGACGTTGTCCGTGTCTCTCGTCGGGGCTCGCCAGTGTATCCCCACACCATTCGGAATCAATAGCGTAGAGAGCTGCGGTTTGAAGGAAGGCGGTAACAGCCACCCATCCCCACATATGGGCCAGCAACACTCTGGTTTTGTTGTGGAAATCGCCAGTCCACGTTTGGGACGATTTCAGGTGAGATAGACATCCATCCGTTCCGGATACGGTAGCCATCGTTTCGTGTGATGTGTCGTCCGTTTTGTTTTTCTCTTTTTGGCCATTTCTTATCTCTCTAAATGACTTTGTTTGCTGTTGACAGCATTCAAGATTCGGCCCGATAAGGCTCCTGTCCAAGGCTTTTTACCAGTTTCCTTTGTTTGAGGTCTTTGATACTTGCTCTATGACCAGCTACCATCTGTGCTAACAGTGACAGAGTCTGCCGACCCTGTTGTTAATTGGATGTCGCAATTCCCACGAGCCCCTTCTGCTGTCAAAAAATTCTGTGACAGACCCTCGTAAACGAGCTTTTTGATCGTTATCGGTGACGTCGTCATCAGTGAATGCATGGCTGGAATGCTTGTACTTTCACAAGGAAAAAGTTCTGACTGCTCCACTGCAGGGAGGGAAAGGAGGAGTATGACTGCAGCTTGGGAGGAGGGGAATGGGTGGAATATCTGTGGAGAAATAAGGACGAGATGCTTCGGAAATGTTACTTTCTTGCGTTCTGGTAGTTAGATGAAGGGAATGACGCAGTCCGAAATTTTCCGGGTAAGAAGGATAGGCGTAAGCCTAGCAATTACTCGTCCGAAAGTGCCTACTCGTCCACTCGAGACGATCCAAGTCATGGCCTATGGCCGTTCCGGGACTCCGGAAGGACAAAAGTTACCTAAGAGGCGACGCATCCAAGGACTACATCAAACTGAAAACCTCTAATAGGATTGTAAAGTAGGATGACACCGCCAAGGGTCATAAAAGCTAACTTTTAGGAACGCCCATCTGGGAAAACTCACCTGCTGCCCATTCAAGATATTCAAATTCAGTTTGTTCGCTTTGCCTGTCTATCTACTCCTTTATCAGTTAACTACTTTCAAAGGGAAGAACCTCTCTCAAGCAACTTCTTCTATGCTTCTGAATGCAGAATCCCATTCGAGCTATGTTCAAA